ATTTTTCTAAGCATCCATTTCTCTTCACAGAGTTTTCTAAAATAACTCAAATAGATACTCGCCACCTTGGTCAAAACTAAAAGCACAAAAGCTCTTATCTAATTGATCTCGACCTCATATGTGCAATGTTAAAAATCATCTCAAAACTTTTGACTTATGGGAGATCAAATAGTCTTGACTCAGATGCGTATCGTAATCTATAAATGTGTCGAGATTGAGGCTTAGCTATCATACCCTTACACACATCTAGTCACAAATATCATAATGGACTAAATGCGCCAAAACAAATGACCTTCTGCGGCTTTCCTACTTACTTGTGCGCACCCATTGCGAACAAAGTTACACATTCACATGAGAGCAGGATGTCATAAGCGAGTGGGCCCGAGAAGGCCTACTCAAACCATCGTGTCATTATCTCATTAATGTGATTAAGTATAATAAGCCACTGGTTCATAACCAATGTCATAAACTAATTCCAATCATCTTAATGTGTGAGTTCTTGAAGACAAATTTAAAGGTTTAGGCCCAACTAGGTAATGACTCATGACTAATTTATGTTCACTAGATCATAAAAGGATGTCATGGAGATACCAAGTGCGTCTAAGTCGCAAATTTAACTAGTAAGTGCTAATCCCCTGCACTTTCAAGTTAGTTTTATTCTCCATACACTTTACTGCATCTAATTGAAAGATGACGATACTCCTCTTGCCATCTCTGTTTCTCGCTTCATAGTTACTTGCAATTAATTCTACTATCCACAAAAAGGAGAGAATAAGCTATCAATTTATGACAGCTCCTGAAGTAACTTAAGCGCGAATTAGGCTAAAGAGTCTAATTCAACACCATGCTCTCACAAGCGATGCGTCAAATTCTTAGAGTCATAACAACCTTGTCGGCCTTGACCTTTTCATTACTATGCTGCAACGTTTGCGCTTAGTGGTAAACGTCATTAAAAAACGTTAGCCTAGCTAAGGAATCATACAAAGGAGCTCCTCCTCATGTCTCATACACAAGTGTGGAAACAGTAAGTGTCCAGACTTAGACAAGATGGCAATGCTAATAGATTTTGCAGCCACTAAGCGCTAATCTTTTCACTTAGTGTTAATAGATTGTGCAGCTTCGAAGTGCTAATCTTTTCACATAGTGTTAATAGATTTTGTAGCTTCTAAGCGCTAATCTTTTAACTTCACGTGATATTTCAACGCACACTATTATAGTGCATGAAATTTTGCTCCATCCACTCCCAATAATTGGATAGAGAGCAAAACACTGCTTATACTGGCTACTCGTCTTATACTTAATGACTAATTTATTTAAGCTTGGATTTCTTGGATGACGTGACTCTTGAATGTTACTTCATCCAATGATGCAACATTATTTACAAGTCAAATTACAAAGTCAATCCGCGCAGCTCAATAGTCAAGATCATATACAGATCTATTGAGGGCTTACTAATTTCATAACTCCAAAACTCGCCAACCAAAACTACGTAGCGTGCCGCTAACCATAGCGCACACATTAATTTTTATTATGCCAAACAAGTCAACAAAACTACGGCAACTTTGAGTTATGTTTCCTTACTTTGGCTCAATTAAGACTTGACCTAAAGTCTCCAAGACTTTTGCTCATCTAAAGAATGAGATTACATTGTTCACATTTGAACATCTTTACTAAGTCTAGGTCAACCAATTAACTTCCATAAGCTAAGTCAATTTAGAGAGAAATTCGTATTGGGATTAATTTGATTAGCATAATATAATTTTGTCACAAAAATCTAAATTAAGTAGTGACAATATTACACAAGTCGCAAGATCGAAAATCCGCTATGCTCGTAATCATCTCTTGCGCCACAGGTGACAATTATCCAAAATTTAATTTAATTTATGCGCAAAATATTGATTTTCGGGAGTTAATCTACAAAGATTTCTCTCAACCGAATAACCTCCCATTGACTATGGCATGTCTAAAAGCATGATAAAAAAAAATTCTAATTTCATACAATGGCATCATAATGTAGATTCATAATCAATACATGCTATGTTACATTTAATAACGGAATTAAAATAAAAAACAATTAATCATTCTATTCTAATCACAACATATTGCAAATTTAAAAAAAAAATAATATGCTGTATTTAATATTCAAATTATGCCATAACAGAAACTATATCACTTCTGAAATTTTCTAAAATTTTTCTGAAATTTTCTAGAATTCTAAATAACTAATAAACACACATTAAATTAGAAATAAAAAATTCCAGAATCTGATAAACTGAAAAAATTATTCCAGTAAATATTAAAACATTTCAGAAGTCTAAAATAAAAAAAATTCAACCCCAGAAACTTAATCATATAACACCAGATGCATTTTAAACCAGAAATAATGAATTATTATTTCAGAAAAAATATTTTTTATTTTCATAAAATTTTCAAAATTTTACAGAAGATAAAAAATTTAATTCTGAGTCTAACGGTACCAACCACGCTTAAAACAAAGTTATAACGAATTAATTATGATCATTTAACGTAATTTAGAGTTAAAAAAGAACAAATAGAGCCTTAGAACCAAGCCAGCTGGGAAAAACGGTTCGGCTTGGCTCGTGCCGCTCAACTCAGCGCAACTCGGCGCGAGGCAGCTCAACGGCGGCGCGACGCATGGCGTACGCGTGGCTTCATATGTGGTGCGGCGCGAAGCGACGCGGCTAACGTGCGCGTGTGAAGGGTGCGGACAGCGTGCGCGTGGAGCGCGTGGGAAGAGCGCCTAGCGCGTGGCAGCGCGTGGAAGCGTGTGGAAGCGCGTGGTGGCGCGTGAGCGCCGGTGGTGGCTCGTCGAAGCGTGTGGGACCGTTGGGCGGCGTCATATAGCGCGTGAGGCACACGTGCCACCTTCCACGGTGTTTTCTGGTTCGATTTTTCTACTGCCGGACTCCATTTTTCACAAAAAATACATTTATAGTCTCAAAAATGACATTTAATGGACATAAAAATGAGATGTATCACATTCTCAATCTAATTTTCATGCATATAATGTGTATATATTTATATAAAAAAAATACACATATTTTAATGCATAAAAAATAAGCACGAAAAAACCCATAAAGGCTCTGATACCAATATAAATCATAAAGCATTATAAATTAATTCAGCGGATAAAAATAATTCGAATCATACCTTAATGACACAACCTCGTCGGTAAATCACGTGCTTCCAAAATCTGATCAGTCAACGAACCCAGCAGTGGAGTGATACTACAAAATGAGTATCACCCACACAAGTTACAATGCAAAATGGCTTGATCGTTGTTTTCTGAAAGAGAGTCAGAAAGAGAGTCTAGGAAAAAAGGTTATGGGTAAAAACCACATAACGTATATCTGATATACGTATCTCTTTAGATTAACCATATAATTTGATATATAACCAATATCTATCTATCCATCTATCCATATCTATTGATATGATAGATATAGATATCCTGAATGGTTATCCAAATAAGTTTTGAATTCAAATTCAAACTTACATGGATAAGGTTCAAAAGGTTCAAGTTCAAAAGGTTCTAAGGGTCATGCCACATGGGAGCCCAATTTCTAACAACTAGGTTGTCGACTTAATATATCATCAATCTTTTTTGCCATCTCAATTATAAATTTCGCAAGCATGTCCATCGTTTCTAAACTTTCAGCTGCGCGACAACCCAACTTAATCAAATTGGGGCATAACATCCTATAACGAGAATTCACATCCAAATCAACTATTGTATCTATATACCTATTAATGTCCTGTACTATTCTATCTTTTGCTTGTTTAGCCAATCTCTTCACTAAGTATTGTTTTGGTATATCATTGATGTTCATCATGTCAAGACCTTTTAAAGCATGGGTACACAAAATTTCACAATTCTCAAACAATTTACAAGTACAAGACACCATTGGGCCTTATAAGTTGACTTTAACTCACTACAACAAAATTGATTTTTTACGGCACCACATTAACGACATACAATGAATGCAAGCCGTAGTTTCTCACTTTTACGACTTGCTTTTTTTGTATGTCATAAATAATATCCTAACCATGGCATGTCTATTGCGTAGGCCGTTCATAGTAAAAATGATAGTTTTTTTACGGCTTGCAATTTTGACAGTAAATAATAAAACTTTCTATGACATACATATGGCATACTGTTAATACATTAGTTATATATGACACACGTATGCCAGTCGTTAAAAATATGTCACTTTTCACGGCTCACCATGTATGTCATGAATGGTATGACCAAAAATTTAAGGATCCAAAACCTAGTAATTTGTGACGCCATTTATCAAAAAAAAAATATTTAATTTATTTTTTTTATTATCAAAGACACTGAAAGTTTCTAAGAAAGAGATGGAAAAGAAAGACGGTGAAGGGGAAAGGGTTCTTCAAACTCTTGTTCTTCAAAGTTCTACAATCAATTGAATTGGTAGAGATCGAGAGGCATAGCAGTCCATTGACTTGTCCGCTTCCTTCCTCAACAAAGCAATCACACTTTCCTTGTTCAAGCTGCTTCGACTTGGCTTCAATTTCTGATTCCATCCGTTCAAATGATTCAATTTCTAATCTGTTCTATTTGCGTAGGCCCTTTCGAGGTTCTTCAAAGTCACACGCTGGTAAGGCACTCATTTCATCTCTCTTTCCTTCCTTCTTCCTAAAACCCTTGTTTCATCTCTCTTTCTCTCTCTCTCTCTCTCTCTCTCTCTCTCTCTCTCTCTCTCTCTTAATATATATATATATATTTATTTATATCCCTCTCCTCCCTGCTCTTATTTGTTTTTCTCTTCTCATTTTTCGCATTCAATTCAATACCTATCTCTCTATACATACATACATACATACATACATACATACATACATACACCTTCTATATCTATCTACATTTTTAGGGTTTTTGTTTCATCTTTCATTCAGGTAACATCATCTCTCTCCATTGTCATCATCTTCGAGCTTTTTCTCTCCTTTTTTTTTTTCTGGTTTTTATTTTTATTTTTTATATTTTGTTGTGAATTGTTGTTTGTTGATGATTTCTCGTTTTTATTGTTGAAAGGTTTTGGATCTGAAAGATTACCACCATTTCTAAGATTTGTTCGCATTTCGCATTTGAGCTTAGAAACAGGTTTGCTCTCGTTTGTGGCTTTGAAAACAATGTTATTCTGATTAATGGTGGAAATGTTGTTTTGTTTTTTCATTTTGCTTAGTGTTTGATGTTATTTCAATGATGTTTTTGAGTTTTTTTGAATTTTTTTTTTTCGATTAATAGTTTATTTCATTTATTGTTCAATGTATTAATCTAGGGTTGTGTTCAGGTATCCTTATATTATTTTTGGATTTGATGGAATTATGGCCCTTTTTTTTAATGTCATTATGACCGTTTCATTTTATTTTTTTTTGATGATTTTGTGATGAAGTTTGGTTTCTGTTGTATTAATCACTTTGGCTTTCTAATTTTAGCCAATTAATAGTTGGTAATCTTGTAGGAGAGGTCAGCCTGTGGTTGAGTTCTTCTTTGCTGCCACTGAAGAGGCAATCTTTGTCCACGTTATAATATCTGCAAAGTTCGTGAAATTTTCCTATCTTTTATTGGTCATAATGGCATAGCATTTATTTGTATTTGAGGTTGATAAATGTTTATGCTATAAGTGGTGAATTAATTTGCATTAGTTCCATTTGTGTTTAGGCTTACCCAGGCACTTTCAAGTGGTGACATGGAGAAAATATTGAATCATTATTCTAATTAATTTGGTGACATTCTTCCAGGTTGGTTTCTGTGTGTCCTAGTTAGTGTTGTCATGTGAATTGTTGAACACATAGTTTTTGGTCGATAGAATGTTTTTATGACTCTGTCGACTAATTTTTCTGACTATTTTTTTTTATTTAGTTTTTGTGTCATGGCATAAAATAAATACTAATTAAACAAGAAGTTTCGATACCCAAATTAGGAAGGAAGATTTTTTTTTTGTTTTTTTTTGGTTGTTGATTTGGAATTAGAGAAGGTCGTATCCTGGCCATGAAGATGGGCTGCTTCACTATGATCTTGCTTGGTCATAAAAAAGACCACTACCCGTCAACCCCAATGTTAATCCTATCAGTATGCGGTGCTGGGATTCATGTACTTGAAAAGCATGCCTAATCGTCACACAAGCACATATACGAGACTAGCTGCTCTCATACTTGGACCATATCATGCACTAATCTATTTGAGCTAATTCTGTAGCAATGGAAGGGATTGTTGAATAATGCAATCACTTGGGCCATACCATTCTATGATATAAAATGTCATGTCGTTGAGGAATTTGGTAGTCTATAAATGAGGACTTGTATAATAAGGATGTTAAGATAGTTTAGTGGCTATGCGAGGGATAATAATATTGTAAAAATGAGTGCATTTGGTACTTGTTTGTTGTTTTTTTTTTTAATTTTAATTTTATTGTTTTTGTTTTTTTTGTTGGGAAACCTGGAGGGGGGTAGGGAAGTGAGTGAGTGGTTGAGAACAAGATGTGTAAAAAAAAAGTAGGAGATTGGGATACTTTGTCATTTGGGGTACTTTGCCAAAAATCTCACTGGTTAGTGGGTTAGACCAAATATGAGAAATGGGAAACAATAGGAGAAACAAAAGTGGGAAATATAGCCTAAAAATATATAGGAGATTGGAAGTAGGTAAGCAATTACAAACCAAAGGGAAATCTAATAGGAATTCTAGCCGAAAAAAAAATTTCAAAATGGAAAGGGAGCATTAAAAAAGCTTCTTGGAAAATTTAAACTTATATCAATACTTGAATAGATACTTTAATAGAACATATCAGATGCTAAAGGAAACAATAAGGAAACAAATGAGAATCATTTATGGAAATAATTCTTGGTTTAATCTTTCAGTTGCACATGACTTGCATATTTAATGAGAATATAGCAGAAATTCAATCCACGGTGAATGAATTGGTTACAAAAGGATCATTTTTGTACTATAAGATGATTCTTAATGCAATCCTTCCATATCCAATATGAGAACTTTATGTATACACAAATATTTTAATGCATGTGTGTCTTTATATGAAATTTGTACTTGTTCAATTCATTTTTATCTGGCTCAAAAGCCGAAGGGTACCATGGCATCCCCACATCTAAATGTAATTCCTCCTCTACATGCTTCGTTGTCCAAACAAAAAAAAGGTGACCTACAAGGGGTTTACACTTCATATCTCCTTACAAGGGAAAAAAACCCCCACTTTTCCCAACCAAAGCACCATGGTATGATTTAACCTCAGCTCATCCTCTGTGTTGCCCAAGGTAGTCACATCATATAAAAACTTAAAGAAACTCTCAAAGTCCTTGAACTCCCAATCCTGCAAAGCTTGCCTAAATTTCATATCCAAAAATGCTTGCTTATCCCTTGAATGAGTATGGAAATGGGAATTCAATTCCCACATCATTCCATGTTGATAAGTAATTAATGGAACGGGAATGAGCATTCCATTAAGAGGTCCAAGCTGTAAAGATGCACCAGTCTTTTTTGAAAGTTCACAGACAGGAATGTTGGTGTCTTTATTAATACTGGTTTTTACATAGTTGGCCTTTTGGTTCTATTTGGATGTTGTATTAAGTACAGGGCTGTTGTTCATTGTGGGTTGTAATTGGTTTTTTTGTATCATCTATTGTTGTATGCTGCTGATATATATGTGCTGCTTCATTGCTGCTATTGCCAAACTTCTAAGTTGCTGCTGCACTGCTCTGCTCTGTGTAGCATCTTGTTTTAGGAATAGTTATATGGATGTTGTGCTTGGAACAATTTTCTTTGGCCCCGTGTAGCAGTTTGTTCTGTGTAACAGTTTGCTCTAGTTTTGCAGATGTGTTGTGCTACTGTGTAGCAGTTTATTCACATGAGTTGGGCACAGTTGTTAGCTTCTTGTTTTTGTTATATATGGATATCATCTTTTTTTTGGTTTTGCTTATACAGTAGTCCCGAGATAGATTAATTTGTTGTCTTGTTCAGAATCCCTATTTTGTTAGATATGGATGTTGAATAGTTGTATGGATTAGGTTTTTAGGCTGGTCTATAGCTAGTTGTCAGCCGTTTGTTTTGTTTTAGCCTCGCTTGTTAGGTCCAAATGTTCTCCTCTATATAGTTTGTAGAGCCTTGTGCTTTTGTTTGCTTGCTTGTTTTTTTACTCAAGAGCTTTTGCCAAATTTTCATATACATCTCACATTGTCTACTAAATTTGAGTAAACAAATATAACTTGACATTGTATTACAATTTTTTTAAGGTAAGAAAAACAACGAAGGCGTTGAAAATGAAGATAAGAGCAAGAGGGTTTGTTGTAGGAACTGTTGCTGGTAGTTTTGGATAATTTCTGAATAGTTTTGGATATGTTAGAAACCTAGATATTTATGGACTTGGAACGTCAATCTGGAAATCCCAGATTTTGCATCCCCGCTTGAACGACAGAACCTGCCCTCAAGCAACCACTCTGAGATATTGCACTTCCACTCGAGTGGCCAAAAGTTGGCTCCAGCGTGAAATGCATGCTCCCAGAAGTTTTCAATTTTTGCAAACTGCTCGAGCGACGAGAGTTGAGCTTAAGCGAGGACCTGAGTCTCACGATTGAGCAAGAATTGAGCGAACGTCGAGCGGAAGATTCACACAACCAGTACTTTTGCAAAGTTTACAGACCGCTTGAGCGAAGGAAGTTGCGCTTGAGCGACCACTCACATATGTGGCTGTCCGCTCGAGTGAAGGAAGTTACGCTCAAGCGAGACCCCTATTTTCAGTAAGTTTTGTTAAGTGTTTTCAAGAGCATTTTGGCATCATCATTACATCCTAAGCACTCCTAGGTCAAGATTATAATGAGGATAAGAAGTAGAAACACACCAAGATAAGAACGAACTAAGTTAATGATTCCAGGTGTGTAATTCAGTATGTATTCGTTGTGTAACTGTATAGATCACGCGCCATAAGACATCTGATTTGCTTACTCTGTCTGTTTGCTTTTAGAGCCATCTGTGAGTAATAACTTAGTAAAGCTATATTCAACTCTATTTATTTTCTGTATATGGAATAAGATTTTTTTATAACATGTTATATATTATGTACAATGAATGATTGTCCAATTTCTGACAAGTATTTGTGGCAAAAATTCCGTGGCTCAAGTAAGTTATCTGTTCTC